CTCGTCAGAAAGGCAGACTTGATGACTCATGCCTATAATCCCAGCATCTAGAAAGCGGAGGCAGGAGGATTATTGCCAGTTCAGTGTCAGTGGGCTACACAGCAGTAGCTAAGTTGGGCTACAATGTGAGACACTGTTTCAAGAAAACGAAACCAGTCCAGTGAGATAAGACCAGGGTAAAAACACTCCTTTGGTTCCTGGAACCCACAGAATGAAAAGAACTGACTCCTAAAAAGTTAGGGCAACACATGCACACGCACACGCACACACACACACACACACACACACACACAAGAAACACAGAGTTTCAGTAAAAAGTCTGGGTGATCTGAGGACACGGGCGAGGGTGAGAAGGTCTGATGTATTCGGTACTGAGCAAGGAGCCAATGGAGGGTGAAGCTTGTTTTCATTCCTCTTGCTCCAATCTCACCAAATCGATTCCTCCTTCTCCTTTCCCTGCCATGGGTAAATCACATTAGCCATCCCAAATCACACGCTAGACGCCTCAAACGCTTGAACATCCATCCCACTCAGCCTTGGCCCCTCCTGCCTCACCTGTGCATTTGCACAACCAAGCCTTGGCCGCACGTCTGTCTCCCTGGCAGACTGTGAGCTCTGTGAATAAATGGCTTTGACACATCTCTGACTCCCAACAGCCAGCACTGTGTCTGACACACGAGCTGCAAAAAGTTAAATGTTTACTGAACAAATGCAAAGACAAGTAGGTGTTCGGGGTAGGGGAGAAGTTAGGAAGGTGTGTCAGATGACAGGAATCAAGACAAGATGCAAAACTCATGCAGTGTTTTTTTTTTTGTTGTTGTTATTTTTTTTCCCTTGACTTTACAGTTATTCTGGGAATAAAGTTAAGTAGATGGGAAAATCTGACGTGGCACAGACAGAAATGTGGAAGGGATTTTTTTTTTAAATGAAAATATTTCTAGCTTGCTTTCTCCTTCAAATTACACCCCACTAACTTGCTGAGAGGAGTATTAACAGATTCAAGGTCACCTCATAGTTCAGTGACCAAGCTGGATAGAATATAAGCCCAGCTTCGGCTAGGTGCAGTTTGTGTCCTTCGCTATACAGTGGTCCAGAGGGTTATAAGGTGGGTGGGGAAAGATAAGACAGTTAAAGATGAGCTAAGTGCCTGGGAGGGGCAGGACTACCCCCAGAGAAGGCCACAGCAAAAGCTGGAAGATGAGCGCAAGGTGTGTGTGGGGTGCCATTTGTGACTCTGTCTCAGCACTTTCAAAGCAAATAAGTGGAAATGGAAATCGGGCTAGGAGTCACTGGGCACTCTTGTTTCAGGATGCCAAGCTGTGACAAACCCACTCCCAACACCCAGTTCTGCAAACAGTTCTAGGCGAGGTTCCAGTAGAAGGGCCAAGGTTCAAACTACACGAATCTGGATGGCCTTGATGAACTGGCATATCTTCATGCCACACAAAGTCTTACTCCTAAGGTCCCTGAAGCACCTGCAGTCTGTCCTGAATGTGGCAGGAAGGCGGATAAGCACCCTATGTTAACTGTCTTGAGGTAGGAAGCAGGATTCTTTGCCTTAATCCTAGGGGAGTTCCGCTCCCCACGCCCTGCTCCGTGCAGGGGCATTTCATGACTCATCTTAATGAGGGAGGCTGTGTAAAAAAGGCCAAAGATGGCTAACCAGCAGGCAAACGTAAGGAACTGGAGAGAGGACTCAAGCATCACACTCAGAGCCCCCAACTCTTCAGGCCTGGGATTAAGATATCATTACAGGAAGCCCCTGGCTTTTCCAGGTGCAGATGGAGATGTCACAGCACTTCATTTGGTGTCCTCGCCATTCTAAAGCTTCCAGAATAGAAACAGTTGTCTCCCAAATCTGACAAATCATTCATTCATTTATTCATTCACTAGGTAATGTTTTATTGAGGCCTTACTATGTGCCAAGGGCCATTCCAGAGTTATCGATACAATCTTCAGAGCCTGCCCTTTGGATCTCATATCCTACTGGGTGGAGACGGACTACCACAGCAAACCACTAAGCGCCAGGGCTGGCAGTGAGATGTGCTATGAGAAAAGGAAAAAGCGGCACGGGGGGGGGGGGGGGCGCGGATTGGGAAGGACAAGTGCTATGTGGGGGCTAGAGGCCAGAACGGGGCAGCAGCCAGGCCTCACGGAGGCGAAGCTGAAGAGGCAAGATAGAGGAAGGGAGCCACGCTAACATTCCTGGAGAAGGCTGGGGCAAAGGCCCCAGAGTGGGAGTGTCGAGGTGTGTTCAAAGAGCAGGGAAGCCTGAGAAGCCTGGCAGACAATCATCCATTCATTTCTTCAGCTACCGCTCACTGGGGGCCCACCTGTTGGCCAGGCCTCAAGTGGTAAAAATCAGTAAGGCGCCCCCACGCAATGAACTTACAAAGCTGGGGAGTGGGGATAAAAAAACCAGGTTACAAAAAAAATTTACAGATTCAGGCTTAGCGACACACACCTATAATCCTAGTACTTTGGAGGCAAGTCCAGTCTCAGCTACAAAGCAAGACTGACTCAAAATAGAAACCCAAACAGACAGAAATATAATTACAGCTAGGCAGAAGGCTTCAGGCATAGTGGGTCTAATGCCCTTAAACAATTTGGGGGTGAATGATCCAGCAAGGACACTAAAAAATGTCACTCCATCTGACATAATGCTGGCGGTGCTGAATTGATCACTTGTTCCTTCTTAATAACAACAAGAAACAAAAAAGCCTTCCAGATGCTAAACTTGCAGAGAAAATCTTTTAAGTTGTAAGTGTACACTAGGTGTGTTTGCCACAACCGGGGCAGCCTCAAAATAAGAGTAGGCACCAGATGGAAAAACCCAGGAGAGGCCACAGAGTGGAGGCCTGGACATGGAAGGCCACCTCTGTGGTAATTTATAAACTAAGACTGGTCTCCTAAGCCCTCCAGACATCAAGAAGGCACCGCACAAGGCCCAGGGTCTGTTATAAGGGGTGGCCACCGCGTCCCACTGGCATCACCAGTGTCCTGATGCACAGGGAAGATCACACCTGCCTCTCCACGAACTGCTTAGGATCCACACTCCAAGGCAGGGACTCAGGGCACAGACCTCTGTCTGGGAGAGCCTGGTAGACCAAACTGTGGGGGAGGGTTTGGCCCAGAAGAGCTCTGGCCTAAGAGATGCCAGCTCTGTTTTTTCCAACTCAATGAATGTACCCTTCTTCACAGGACAGTAGAGTTCAAAGATGCCCTGCCCAGAACCAGCACGCACCCACAGAACAGAGTTTAGCCCTGTTGATCAGGAGCTGGACATCAAATTAAGTCAATCCATACTAGCTGGATCCAGATCTGACCAAACAGATGGGGAGGTACTGATGGCTGTAGACGTCACCAGTTGCCAGCAACCACCTCAAAGACAGAGGCAGGTGAGAAGGAAGCTGTGTGTGAGTCTTCACCAGTCCCTAACGAAGCTACTGAAGAGAAATAAATGTTCAGGGTCGGTCCCTCCCTGCAAGATGGGGTGAGACGAGACATACTCCCCACTGCCCCTGTGCCCCAACTCTAACCCCTGGCCAAACAGGCTCCGGGGTTTGCAACCTCAAATCTTCTAGACTACCCAGACTATCTTCTGTCCTGGTTTATAATCCTCAAGACATCCTTAGCTCTGATGCTGAACTCTGTCTAGAACACTTAAAGGAGAGAGGGTACCAACCTGCCCCCTTGGCCTTGACCCTAACGTGACCCAAGCACACTTTTTAAGACTGGCAAGAACATCTCCCTCTCCTGATCCCATTTCAGGACTGCCCACCACTTTTCCGTTCAGAAATGACCCCAGGCTTATCCACAACTAGGGTTCAAAGTGGTTCTTAGGTTAGCCTGGGCCTTTGCCAGAAACGATTCTACATACAGGGAAGAAGGCTGGGACCAAGATTATGAAGAAAAGTCCCTACAAAATGAGCCTCAGGTTCTTCTCTAAAGAGTTGCCCTTTCCGCCTCCTCAACTCCTCACCTCCTCCAGCCTGGGAGGATTTTACTTTGTAATCACTCTGTTTACAGCCACTTTGAGGGTTTCAGGATAGATAAGGGAGGAAGGCTTTGTTGGGAATAAGGAAAGGGGTGTGAGCCCTGAGCTTTGAGACAGGGGAGTAAACCCTCTACCTGGGAGCCAGCCAAACACGTTAGAAAACACACGCAGGCGCGCGCGTGCACACACACACACACACACACACATACACACACATGCGCGCGCACGCACTAAGCAGTTCAAGGCCAGCTTAGGATGGGGGTTGGGGAGAGGAGGCAAGTTTATGTTTGGCACCTGGGAAAGGTGGAACAATAACCAAAGCTTGGTCTCCATGCTTTTGCTAAACAGTGGGAACGGCTACCTGGCATTGTTCCAATTATGCTTCTCGGCTGGAGGGCTACTGTACTCCCCTGTCCCCAAATTTTCCAGTGCTCCAACCTGGGAACAAACTCGAGGAAAGAGGTGTGCAAATACTCCAACCTCTCCTGGTGGTCACCGATCATCCAGGAGGTCCGCTAGACAGGACCACCTGCTGAGCCACAAGCATACCCTTGGCTTCCTCTTGAAAGGGGTCTGACTCAGAACCACGCCACTCATCTTTTAAGATTCCCCTCAAACCATTCCTCCCCTGTGACATCCTCAGCTCTCCGGACTACTTCCCCTCCTCGCCCTCTAAATCTCCAAGAGGCCTGGTGTTTGCCTCTTTACAAACAGGCATGAGCCTTACTCTCTCTCCTTCCCCCAGCTCCAGACAAGTGTGCCTCTCTTCGATGCAGCTAAACACAAAGCACAGTACCTGGCAGAAGGCAAAGGCTTGGGAACTGTTTCTGCCATGCCTGATAACATGCACCTCAAAGGCATAGGAAGTGATGGACGGAGGGGTACAGAACCAATCACACAAACAGAATGGTAAAATCAGCAGACACAAAACATGCAGGGGATGCTTCATGGGGATTAAGGGGTGTCAAAAGGAAACTTAACCAGGGACTATATCAGTCCTTACCCTTCTTGAATTCCTCCAGCATGGCATCCAGCTTGGTGTCATGGAAAACAAAATGTACCGGGTGGTTGTAGAAGCGAGTGATAGTCTTGAGAGGGGTGCAGTCATCAGGGTCCACGAAAGCCAAGTCTTTGACATAAAGGATATCTACGATATTGGATTGCTCATCTTCAAACACAGGAATGCGAGTATAGCCACTTTCCATGATCTCAGACATGGTGTTGAAGTCCAGGATGGCATCACTGCGGATCATGAAGCAGTCGTGGAGCTGGGTCATGATATCCTCCACAGTTTTGGTCCTTAGTTCCAGGGCGCCCTGGATCATATTTAATTCCTCCTTCACCAGGTCATTATAGGGCTCTGTCACCTTCAACATCTCCATCAGCTTCTCCCGATTGTAAACAGTGCGAATCTCCTGACCCAAGAAGAAGTCCAGGAGTTTGCTGATGGGGAAACTCAGAGGAAAGGTGAGCAGCATAAAGACTTTGGTGAGAACAATAGTGTTGGCACCCACTGCCAGCCCATGTCGGGAGCACAGGGCTTGAGGTAAGATCTCCCCAAAGATGACAATGCCAATGGTGGAGGAGGCCACTGCCATGATGCCAGACCCGATGAGGTTGTCTAGAAGGATGGTGAGGGAGGTGTTGACCAGCACATTCCCCAGGAGCAGCGAGCAGAGCAAGTAGTTGCCCTTGCGCCGGATGGGCTCTATCTTGCGGGCGTACCTTCTCTCCTTTTCAGTTCCACAGTTCTGCACGATGCGCAGTTCCATCGGGTCCAGGGCCATAAGCCCCAGGTTGAGGCCAGAAAATATACCCGACAGCACTAACAGCACCAAAACAAGAAGGATGTGCAGCCAGAGAGGCAGAAACCTCCCATGCTCCTCCACCATAAAGAGCAGGGAGTCCTTGTCTGTCCATTTGAACCAGGGCCCGTCCACCCGGGCCCGGGTGCACAGCGCGTACAGCTTCATGTTCTCGCTCCTCCTCAAGAACTTAGTGAGCACCACTAGCATCCCCGACGTGTTCCCGCGGCTCACGTTGACCAGTCGCTGGACCACTAAGTCCTTGGTGAGCTCCAGGCAGTTGGTGGAGTTGTGGACCGTCTCGGCGTCGTCCACCTCAGTGAAGGAGATCAGGTTGCTGGAGATCTCGCTCAGGCTGTGGCCGTAGAGCCTCAAGTTCACCATGCTGCCCTCGGACACGAAGATGATGCCATCCGGGTTCATCCCGCACGACTTGTTGCAGCTCGCCAGCCTCATGCCCAGGATCACGCTCTGCTGGGGGCTGCTCTGGCCGCTGGCCGCCCGCGTCCATAGCGGCAGCAGCAGCGCGGCCAGGAGGAGGCGCCCTCGGGCCGGCCAGCCGTCCCGCCGCCCGCCCCCGCCCCCCGGCGCCATGTTGCTCCGGCCCCGCCGCTGCCCGCGCCCCGCCGCGCGCCTCAGTCGGCGCCGCCGCTCCTGCTCTCCTGCCGCTCCGCCGCCGCCGCGCCAACTGCCCCAGCAGCGGGCCTGACGTCAGGCCGCGCCCCGCCCGCCCCGCCCCGCCGCCCCACGCCCCTTATTTGCATGAGAGGTCCCGCCCCTACCCGTGCTCACGCGCCCGGCTTAAGGAGGTCTGCGCGCTTAAGGTGGAACGGCGCTAGGCAAACGCGAGAGCCCGCGGCAGGGGTGTGCTCAAGCCTCCGCGCGGAGCCCGGCTTCTCCCGCGCTCCCCCTTAGGGAACCCGACTCCCTGGCCCCGCGCGCCCGGCTCCTTCCGGATCCTCTCTGCACGCTGTGGCTCGGCTCTGGGGCGGTGGCGCTTCTCCTCGGGCACAGCGAGGAAAATGCATTTCCCGATTTAGAAAAAGAAAAGGGAACCTAAGGGCTCAGGCTGGCTTTACAACCTCCTCACTTCTGGGATTTTTGCTGACCTTGACCCGGTGGTCACTGCTCTCCAGCTTACCCCAACCCACCGCTCGCTTCTGCCTAGGGGCTCTACCCGACCTCTAAAGCGCCTAGAGCGGCCAGGCTCTAACTTAGGTTGACCACCTGTCATTTCTATTTAGGGCTGGGTTTTCACTGAATACCCAATATGCGCCAGACACTTGTTTCAGCCTCTGACGATATGGTAATGAACAAGCTAAAGCCTTTGTCCGTCGTAGTTTACAGCCTAGAACTGGAAGGCACATGGTTCTGCGTTGTGCCCTTAATAATAAACTGGTAACAAGTACAAAAAAAAAAAAAAAAAAGAGAAGAAGAAGAACCTAGGCACAAATCCTAGGCCTTTCAGATTTCCACTGTTAATCCTAGTTCCTGTCTGTAAATGACAGTAGGAATGAATGCTTTGTTTTGTTTTGTTGAAACAAGGTCTTAGGTAGTCCAATATAGCTTTGAACTTTCAAAATCTGAGGCTGACCTTGAACTCCTGATCTTCCTTCCTTTACCTCCCAAGTGCAGGGTTTACAGGCAGGTGCCACCATGCCTGGGTTGACTGTGTTTTTTAGTTACCGTTTTAGGTTTTAAGTTGATGGCTGAAAGAATGATAACAGCACCACCTGGCTAAGCATGTGGGAACAATTGGCTTACATACTGAGCGTGACAGGACAACGCTCTGTGAAGAGGCTTTGCTATGGAGTAATAGTTGCCGCTGCCGCTGCCGGCTCTTTCAGGACTATACCCTTAACCCAAAATTGTGGTGAGTGGCCAGCTGAGGCAGCTGCCTGTGGAAATGAACGGAGAGGTGTGGTTGCTGTTCTAGCCTTGAGATCACCGCTTCCTGAACGGCCCTGCTTGGATGTCATTCGGCAGCTGTCAACTGAGTGTGTGAGGATGACCACAGCCCTCCACCCAGAGCTGTCCGCCCTGTGGTGTGAAGGGCAGGACATGGAGGACAAACATCCTTATCTTAGTTGTGGAGCTACACTAAGCAGCAGGGACCACTGGGCTCCCAACAAGGCTTCCCCAGGCCCTGGAGACACAGAAAGCCCTTCTCTGCCTCCCTGTACAAATTCCTGTGTTTATTTTTACTTTGGTACACACTCTGCCAATAAAAGCAACAATCGATACCAGCAGCTAAAAGCCTAAACAGAAGGGAACACTCATGGGGTGTTGTGGGGGAGGCTTGGTAGCAGAAGCTGGATTAAATGCTCTGGCATCAAGGGCGAGGGTGTCTGTAAACAGCCTGCTGGAGGAAGTTCCTTGTGAGTAGGTGCCTCACCTCACACACCCAGTGTGTCCAGAAGACTAGGCTCTTAGTGAATAGTAGCCTCACTTTAGGCACTGGCAAAGACTTCCTGTCCCCCCCCCCCCTTTGTCTCCTCCAACCTGGAAGGGTCACCTGCATTATTTGAAAGCAACCCCAGGTCTCTGAAAATCCCCTACCCGGCTTCCCCATCATCCCAGTTGTCCACAGGCCCCCTGATTGCCCTTCCTGTCCTTAAAAACTTTCCCATTCTATTATCGATCGATTGGCTATTTTTATTTTGCCCTTTTGGGGCTGTGTTCACTGGCACGTTGTAGGTAGGCACTCAGTGGAAGCAATAAAAGCCAACAAAGGGAAAGAAACTAAGCACTTGAGCTACTTGGGTTAAAAGAAGATGTAAAGAAGCAAGGGAAATAAAGCAAGACGGGGACAATGGTGAGGGTCTGCTGTCTGTTAAACTCAAGCTAATTCACAATTGGATTTCCATAGTGATTAGGAGAAGAAGAGTAGATTCCATGAAGTAAAAAAATGTAATTTGGAGCAGTGGTGGTGCATGCCTTTAATCCCAGCGCTCGGGAGGCAGAGGCAGGCGGATCTCTGTGTGTTCGAGACCAGCCTGGTCTACAAGAGCTAGTTCCAGGATAGGCTCCAAAGCTACAGAGAAACCCTGTCTCGAAAAACCAAAAAAAAAAAAAAAAAAAAAAAAAAGAATATCTGAGCCTCACAAGTGCTGGGATTAAAGGTCAAACGCATAAATTAAATATATCTAAAAGGAAATGAAATTCCTCTTTGATCTAGCAGAGCAAACAAGACTTGCTTTATAAAAAATGAATGCTCGATGGGACCTGGGGAGATGGCTCAGTTATTAAAGTGCTTGCCATGTTAAGTATAAGGACCTGAGTTTGATCTTCAGCACTCATGTAAAAAAAAAAAACTGTGTGTAACAGTGCCTATCTGTAATCCCAGCCCTGGGAGACAAAGACTGGAGGATCCCTAGGGTTTGTTGCCAGCCAGTCTGGCCAAATCGGTGAACTCCAGAGTAAGTGAGAGACCCTATCTTCAAAAAGTAAGGAGGAGTAAATATAAGAATATACCTGACATTGACCTCCAAACTCTGTGTATGCACACACAGGCACGCGGATTAAAGAAAGAAAGAAATGGTAATATAAGAGATGTCAGAAGAGCTCAAGCTTGTGACTCGGTGGATGTGGCTGTCAGCTTGCACCTCTAGGGAGGGCATCTGTCTTCCTTTCTCATAAATACAGAGAAGAATCTATGGCATATAACATCAGGAGATTTAAACCTGGATGGCTGTGTGGCTCACAGCAACTAGGCTGTGAGAATGGAGAAACTTCTCTCTTTAGGGACAGAGAAAGACCCCTGTCTCTCCGCCTCAGGGTGGCCGGTCCTTACTCATCGGACTTGTCTCCTTTTGCAAGTAAGGAATCTGGGGGAAAGTCCTCCTTAGGCGATGAGCATCTCAAAGCATTCCGTTCATGAGTTCCTTGGACGTGGATGGTCCTTTCTGACAGTGTGTCTACCTCTCCCACGGTTGCAGCCGCTTCTTCTTAGTCCTAGGCAATGGAGCTACCTTAACCGGTGTCGCTCTCTTTCTTGCCCCTGGCTTCACACTAATGCTGGGTTTGAGTGATGAAGGACTCTGAACTGGCAAACCAAGATCTTACCCTTCCAAGCTAGATTCTTTGTCTCTTCACCTTCTAGGTTCCTAGAATGGAAAAACTGTGAAAAATAAATAAATCTGCCTTTCTGCTAATGATGCCCAGAATCTGCAGCCTGCCCTGAACTCACACTGGAAGTCAGTTGGAATGTGTCATGGACCCTGGAGTGGAAAGCCTGATTGGGGACAGAGGGGCATTTATCAGAGGATGGTGCAAGCCATTGTCGGTATGCATAGCAAGTCTGCACTAGCCCCCTCGTAAGCCTACATATGTCCTTGTTATTTATAGGACATGTCCAAGCCATTGTATTGTCTCAGGAGGCAAGGGACCTTTCTCCATGTATAGGGGGACAAAATGAGCTGAAAATTAGCTCAAATCCCAACTCAAATCACAGCAAGTGAGGGCACGGTTACCTGGGTGTAGCGAGTGTCATGATTTCTGACTTCACTGAGTCGGAGAATAAACATCGGGTTAGAGGGCCATACCAAGGAAAGGATGTGCCTCACGCGGGAATGCCAAGCCACAGAGCAGAGAGACGGTTGATATTAATTGGGTAAGTAGGCTTCAAAGGTCTCCTTGGGGGCAGAACCACAAGGGGCTGGATGCCCCTGTGTTGGGGGTCAGAGTTCTGCAGGTACACTGTGGGCTGGTTCAGCTGCTGACTACCCATGAAGCCTGGGTTTCTGGAATAGTCTTGAGTGCTGTGTGATGATGCTCGGTGAGGTCTTCACGGACAATGACAAGAATTCAATAGATGTGCTTAGTGATAACGATCATGATACAAGTGATGTAAAGAGGACACGCCCCTGCCCCTTGCTTTGAAAAAATATTTGCTCTTATTATTTAGGAATTTTATACATATAGTTAATGTATTTTGATCATACCTACTCCCCTTTTCTTTTCTTTTTATTTTTTCTTTTTTTTTTTTTTTTTTTTTTGGTTTTTCGAGACAGGGTTTCTCTATGGTTTTGGAGCCTGTCCTGGAACTAGCTCTTGTAGACCAGGCTGGTCTCGAACTCACAGAGATCCACCTGCCTCTGCCTTCCAAGTGCTGGGATTAAAGGCGTGCGCCACCACCGCCCGGCCACCTACTCCCCTTTTCAATTCCCCCTGGATCTCCACCCACAATATGTCTCCCTCCAACCTCATGCTCCACCCCTTTTTAATAAGCGTCGGTGTCAGATTAGTGCTACCCATATGTGCTTGGGTGTGGGGCTGTAGCCTGGAACATGGGGAACCTACCAGTGGCTGCACTCATCAAAAGATATTACCCTTCCTCCCCCACCAGCTATTAACTACCAATAGTTCTCAGGTCGGGGTGGGGGATCTCATGAGCCTCTCCCCCATTCGTTCCAAAAATTTCACTGGCTTGATCTTGTGCGGTAACCGCAAGTGCTATTAGTTCTTGAGTGTAGTGAGCATATCATCTCCAGAAGATAGCATACCACAGCTCTGCTCTCCACACTCCTGCTTTAAAGCTCTCCTAAGCCTGAGCCTTAGTGGTGCTTATGGAGGAGGGAGACATTAGTATAGACGGCCCATTTAGAGCTGTGCACTCAGTCACACACTCTCAGCACTTCACCTACTTCTGAGTCCCCTT